CACTGGGTGTTATACGAAAACAATGGATCGTGGATCACTACATCGAAAACCAATGATGTATTGTGTGGTGACTAACATAACATAATAAAATTAAAAAAAAAAAAAAAAAAGGAACCTGGCGGAGGAAGGGTACGGAGTGCGTTCCCTGTCATTGTTATGGCGAAGCTGTAACCTTTGGGCGCCTTTCCCAGCTACCTACTTTAAAAGGAAACCTGAGATGTCCAAGAAATCCCAATACTTTGAACCATATATGATTCAAAATGATCTATCAAAAAGGAAGAATAATTTATCCTTGGCTTGGCATTTAATTGGAACTCAGAACATGACAAATGAAAAGAAATCCAACTCCCACGTAAGGTGCGTGCAGCCCCCCTTCCCAGCCTGCGGGGCTCTCCTGGGGACTCCCATTTTAAGCGTGAACTACCAGCTAACTAACTGGGGAGGTCCTTCAGGCACTCTCCGGAGGAAAGAAAATTCCAGGGGAAAAAAGAGCAAAGGGAAACCCAGGGCAGAAACGAAGCAAGGGACAGTCACTAGGAGTTAATCTGCTTTAATACCCTGGCCATTGCCCCCTGAGGAACCTCAGCCAACCTGCTTTGTACCTCCCTCAGAATCTCTGAAGTGATCATATCTTTTTGCACGCTACTGAGATGCCTGGCGGCTGGGGGCTCCTCGATAGTCTCAGGATGGTGCTGGCAGACAGGGGAACCAGCCCTGTGAGTAGACAGTTGGGACTTTCAGCCACTGCTGTCCTCTACCCCCACCTCCAGGAGAAGAGAGGGACTAGAGAGTTCATTAATCACCAATGGCAATGACTTGGTTGCTCATGTTGACATAAGAAGCCTCCATAAAAATCCTAGCTGAAGGGGTTTGGAGAGCTTCCTGGTCAATGAACACATGGAGTGCTGGGAGGGGCCTGGAGAGGGGATGGAAGCTCCGCGCCCCTTCTCACATGCCTTGCCCTACGAATCTCTTCATCTGTGTGCTCTCTCATATCCTCTTTTTTTTTTTTTTTTAAGATTTTATTTATTTATTTGAGAGCAAGAGAGAGTGAGAGAACACAAGCAGGGGGAATGGCAGGCAGAGGGAGAGGCAGAAGCAGACTCCCCTCTGAGCAACATGGGGCTCAATCCCAGGACTCTGGGATTATGACCTGAGCTGAAGGCAGACGCTTAACCCCAGGTGCCCCCATATCCTTTATTATATGATAAACCAGTTAAATATAAGCGTTTCTCTGATTACTATGTGCTGTTAGAACAAATTATCGAACCTGAGGAGGGTGGTCATGGAGCCCCCAATTTGTGGCAAAATTGAATAGAAGTATGGATAACCTGGGGACCCACTACTTGTGATTGCTGTCTAAATAGAGGGTAGTCTTGTGGGATGGAGCCCTTAACTTGTGGGGTCTGTGCTGACTCTGGGTATAAGTGTCAGATCCGAATTGTAGAATATACAGCTTTGTTGGAGAATTGGTTGGTGTGGGGAAAACCCCCCACACATCTGGTCACAGAAGTGTTCCAGCAGGGTTGAGAGTGAGTAGAGGATGAAACAGAGAGATTTTCCTTCTCACAGCCTGAATCTCAGAGTCTCTCAGGTTCTCTGCCCCCAGAACTGGTCGCCAATTTGATGAGGGGACCCCCCACAACATCCAGGTGCTCCTTTTGCTGTTCTATTAGTGAGCGTTTTTCAGTGGGCACTTTCTCATGTTCTTTGTTGTTTTTTAATCTGAAGATATTTCTTGGTGACTAACTCAGATTAGAAACTGGGACCTGCCATGGAAATTGGACATCCTCAGACACCAGCTGTATGTCTCATAAAGGAAAACAAAGATGCCCAAGCTGAGCAGAAAGGCAAAAAGAGCAAGTACCTGTCAGCCTACTGGGTACGAACAGGAGTTCTTTTTCCATCTGCAGTCGAACATGGACGCTTTCATAATCTGCAGGTCTGACTACCACAAAATCCTCAGCTGCGTGGTCTAAGCCCAGTAGAAAATCCTCGTCATCCTTAGCACTAAGCAGCTCTTCCTCATCCTGTATTACATTAAACAGTAAGAAAAATCACGCCACGATTATGAGTCTGCTTAGAAAAACAATGGCATTAAACTCACTAGACAACTTACAAGACAGTGCTCTTTTCCTTTTATCTTTTTTTAAACGAAAGCATAAAACTCGATAGCCTTTCATGTTCCCCAAGCAGGTTTTCTTTGTTTTTCACTCTTCCACATGTTCGGAAAATCTCAAAATCAGAATGGGCTGAAGTCAGAAGAGATGTGCTGGGCAAAGCAATCGAAATCTCAATTCTGGCCTCCTTTGAGGGTGTGTATTCTTCCACATTTACTTCACGTCCTCGGGCTCAGAAGTTACATGGTATGTTAACCTTCCCCCCGGCACCGACCCCAGGGTAAGACGCTGTAAGCAGCGTCCACACTCTGCTCAGTGTCCACACATGCAGCCCAGCTCCACCCACATTGCTGGCGGGACTTTGGGGAACTTACCTGCTGTCCTTATCCTTGGTTTTCTCCACTGTAAGATGTGGATATTAACAGAGCTTACTTACCTCTTAGGCTTTTGTGAGGATAGAATTAACGGACGCACATAAAAATCCCAAGCACTGGGTCTGTCATCACAAATGCTAGCTGCGGCATGTTAATTTTGTTTGAATATTTTCCGACCTTTTACTCCTTTTCTTTCTTCTTCTTCTCATCTCCTCCTTACTTTTCTCCTTCTTCTCTTTCTCCTCCTTCTTTTTTTTTTTTTTAAATTAAAGCCTGGTGCCCATTTATGAGCAACAACCTTTAACATCCTGTGGAGATTTGCCCAGGTGCTAGCCTCGCTACCTGCCTCTTCATATTTCCTCCCAAATAAATCAAACAATGAGAAGGGGAAATAAATCTACATGGTAACCAAGCTCCCAGGACAACTTGAGGACACAGAATGCCAAAAACTTCAAAAAAGTAAAAAAGAGAAAAGTGCCCTAATTTCAGTGTGTGATTTTTTTCTCGCTTGTGCCCCCTTTGGCTTTGTGGTGAGCAGAGACAGGCGGAGAAAAACTGCAGAGAAGACAGACTAGGAGGGCTACACAGGATCTAAAACCTCTGCCAGAAAGACTAAATCCACTTAGAGTAGGGGGAAGGGAAAAATGAAGGGGTTGGAAATCAGAGGGAGAGATGAACCATAAGAGACTACGGACTCTGAGAAACAAACTGAGGGTTCTAGAGGGGAGAGGGGTGGGGGGATGGGTTAGGCCAGTGATGGGTATTAAGATGGGCACGTACTGCATGGAGCACTGGGTGTTATA